CAAAATGTTTGGGGCAGCTTAGGCTCGTGTAGGGGGGGTGGCAACCCAGGGCTTCAAGGGTCCAGTGTGCCTGGTGGCAGGAGCAGGAATGGCCCGAGCGAACTCCGAGACGAGGGTGACGATAGAAGGAAAGCTTAGAGCAGCCGGGTAGTTGATGGCGCCTTTGCGCCCTCTGCCACTTATGTGTCACGTTTTCATCTTATTGACCACCCGCTGGGATGACTTTATGAGGGAACTGGACAAATGCACGGAGGAGGAGGTCATCCAGGGCAGGTCATCCAAGGCACCAGAAGGTACTTGTGGTATCAGAGGCAGGATGCCGACTTCCAGCAGTTGCTGGGGAACATGGGCCATGCCTGTGGGCTTGCTGTGGGCAGCCAGTGGCCATGGTGTGAACCCAAGGCTGCACGAGGTGAGCTCTGGTCTCCCTATGGAACTGGCTGCATGGGGGCAACCCAGCAACACGGCGGAGAAGTCAACCAGAGCAAGGCTGGATTCGTCCCGAGTGTAGGGAGGGGGCCCGCTTCTCATACGAAGCAGCCCCCCAAGGCGGTTGCATCAGATCCAGAATCGAGAGAGGTGGAACTGGAACGCTTTGCCGAAATGCCAAAGCTAGTCGCTCGAGATGCAAGACGGGTAGAGAGGAGAACCGATGGGTTCAAGTTCCATGGGAAATTCATCTGAGTGTTTGGAGATGGGTGGGGGTGGACCAAACGCAGCCAGTGCAACTGTTCGGTGTCAGTAAAAGGGGGCAGGCAGGCTAAAATGCAGGTACAACCAGATAACGAGAGCCACTGTGGTGTAGTGGTGAAGAGCATGGGACTGGGACTCAGAGGATCTGGGTTCGAGTCCCCGCTCGGCCATGGAGCCAGCCAACTGGGTGACTCTGGGCCAATCAGACTCTCAGCCCAACCTACCTCACAGGGTTGTTGTTGTGGGAATAAGATGGAGGAGGAGCATGGTGTAAGCTGCCTTGAGCCCTTTGTAGGAAAAAGGCAGGATATAAATCAAAGAAAAAAAAATATGGGAAGAGCATCAGTGCGCCCACTTCCATAGTATGCCCCCCTCCAGAGACCAGCCCCAAAGGGTTCATAAGCAAAGCTTTGGGTGAGGGGGGGCAGAGCGAGGGGTCAGCATTCCACCTGGTGTGCGTGTGTTGAGGCTTGTGAATACGTTGTTTCTATACGGAATAAAGATTTTTTAAATAATTGCTGAAGTGCTTGTCTCGTTTGGGACACCTAGTTCACGACATGTATTCTAGTAAGAACAAAGGAAAAAATATAAAATACTATGGAAGTGGTACCTAACCCCAATGAAGCTAAATTGTGTAGATAGTAAATATTCCAATTTCTGTTGGTGATATAGCTGTGGGTACGTATTTTCATATCTGGTGGGACTATGAATGCATAATGAAGTTTTAGGAAAAGGTTTTTAAAGAGAGTAGTAAAATATTAAGTTTAAATACAGAAATATGCCCCGAGATTGCATTACTTTCAATATTTGATAAGAAACAATGAGCTGGAATGATAAAGAACAACACATTTAATAACTGCTGTATGATTAATCATAGCTAAGAACTGGAAAGTAAAATAATATTATCAGCTGAGTGATTGAGAAGTTTGGAACATAGCTATTAATGATGAATTAACTTGTGATAGCAAAGTGAGAAAAGGGCATATAGAGAAAAAATTAATGAGATTTGGGGTGCATTTATTGAATATGTGTTCTTTAAAAAAGGGAAAGGATTTTAACTATCACAGGAAGCATTGCAATTTTCAAAAGGGAAAATTCCTGAAAGAATTTTTGAATGAGTTCTTATGAGTGAGATGAATGAGATTGAAGGAACAGGGTTGTTTCAGCTTGGACAAGAAGAGACTCCAAGGGGATCCAACATACAGGTATGTGAAGGTGCCACAAGGTAGAGGGTTGTGACTTGTTCTTCCCTTTGGTGGAAGAAAGGATGCGGTCCAAAGGGACAAGAGTAAAGGAACCGGGTTTTAGGTTGGATGTCAGGAAGTACAGGATCCCGAGGATATGGAACGGATTTCCATGAGAGGCGGCGGAGGCCCCATCAGTGAGGACGTTCAAGGAAGGACTGGACACCCACATGTTGAAGATCATATGAGCAGAGCCAGTTTGTGCTGGGGGTCAGACTAGATGGCCCGGGAGACCCCTTCCGACTTGCTGTGTTTTCTGTGTCTCGTATTAGGCACAATATTGTATTTGTCAGAAGTCTTTAATCTCTGTAAAGCACTTTGGCTGTTGGGTGGTACAGAACTGCAATATTAATCACAATAAAAAGATGAGCCAGATTCCTCATGTTAGAGAAGCTTCAGGTGCAGCCTGTCCTTTCTGTACGGGTCTGGCTTGTCCCAAAATGTTCCCCAGAGCCTAACAAATCCAAACCCCTCCTCTCTACACCACCATCTCGTCTGCTCGTTGAGACTTCTTGGCAATGCCCGTTTACACTCCCCTGGGTGTAGAAGAAGAACATTTCAGAAAAAGCCACCCACCATGGAGGTTCTGGATCTCCGTCTTCTACCTAGCAACCTAAACAGCTTTCAGGACCTCGTGATTCCATGTCCCACATCACTGGTACAACATGGTCCTCAGCCACTGACTTCACCCCATCACACACCCAGCGATCCATCCGTCTAATAAGCACATCTTCCACTACCAGACGTTGCCCACTCCCTGAAGGCACATCCTTCGTGCAAGAGGATAAATGCTCATCTTCCAAGGAATGGTTGGCTTCTCAGGGAACGTTCTCCTTGCCCTCAAAATTGCACCCTCCTTGCCGGAGACCCGTATCTTCCATGACGGCAGGAGAGCTTCGCCCAGGAGTTGGGAGCCAGAGGTCTTGCGTGCACGGCAGCGTCCATTCTTTGGCACAGAGACTGGTGTAGTCACCTCTGTAGACACAGAAGGGAGCTGCTGAAACAGGAATGGGGGAGGACCAATGTTGTAATTCGATTCTGCAATCTTGCACTCAGACCAGGTACAATGAGAGCCAGCACCTGGCTTTGTTGCAGGTTCAGGTTTCTGTGTTTGCATTATTGTTTGGTGACCTGTTGTTGTTGCATGTAAGTAGCTGCTTTAGATGGGAGGGCTGTCTAGTAAGCAACTCCAGGTCTAACTTGAAGGCTCTTTCTTTGTGGAACAAAGAACATTCCAAGGGAGATTAGGTGGAGGCAGCTGAGTTAGAATTTATGGCAGAGTTAATTCTATCACCAGGAGCTTGAATCAAGTCAGGTATCTTTTGTTACACTACATGAATTATTCAGTTTATTTTATGCCAGGAGATGTGGGTTATCTGCCACAGCAGCACCATGAATGACCCCTCTTGATGTGATTGTTACTATCAGATCTTGTTTTTTCTTTCTCACCTTTTTGACCTTTTAAATAATCTGCATCTCCCCCCCTCACCTCAAAGTACTTCTAAATCTAATATGCTCCACAAGAGATGCACAGAGTGGAAAGCTTCTGCTGTAACAAACGTGTGAATTTGCTGTGTTTTTCTGCAACACAGCTACCACTCTGGGAATGTATTCCAATGGCCATTCTTTGCCCTTCATTTTAATATGTTCTTGCAATAAAAGTGCTGGGCATTTAAGGTCATTTAAGGCTTTGATTTTTGTTTGCTTTCTGCAAACTAGGAAAGTATCAGGGTTGTACACCACATGAGAGCTGAGTGGGTCACAGAACGAGAGCAACGTTGAAGCTATCCTGCAGTTTTGCAAAGGCAAGGCTGCATACCTAGGACTCCTAAGCCAAGCCCAGGGCTGCATACCAAGGTGATTCTGGTGTTGTCATGTGCCATCAAGGCATCTCTGACTTATGGGGACCCCATCGGCCCCCCAAAAGGCCCTATTCTCAGTCCTGCAAACTCTTGCAGACTCAAGGCTGGGCCTCCTTTCCGGAATGAACCATCTCTTGGTGGAGGCCTCTTCTGCCTTCGACTTTGCCTACCAAGGTGGTCTTCTCCAAGGGGCCTGGCCTTCTCAGCAATGCATCACTCAGACTGCAGCAGGGGCAGCTTTTCACAGAATCACAGGATAAAGAGTTGGTAGGGGTCCTGAAGGCCATCGGTCCAACCCCTGGTGGTGCAGGTCCCCAATTTCCACCATCCAGTTTTGCCTCGAATGCCTCCAGTGCGGGAGAGCCCCCCACCTCTCCAGGCAGCCGCTTCCACCGCCCTAGTGCTCTGGCAGTGGGGAAGCTTCTCCTGCTGCCCAGCCTGGATCTGGGTGCCCCCGGCTCGACTCGATTCTTCCGTGTCCCGCAGGCTGGCACCATTTTGCGGTGCCTCTTGCAACCCCACCCCAGCTCCCTCGTGCTCCTTTCTCGCCTAGGCACACCCGCTGCCAGGGAACACGGGCGGGGAGGCGCTGTGGCGCTCCTGTCCTGTTTGTGGGACTCCTGCTGCGGCTGTGTGAGGATGATGGGCTACATGGTCCCCGGGCCGCTCCCGCTGAAGGGCTCTCCTTTCGTTTCCATGGAGACTCGCAGGGTCACGACGGCTCCAAAAGGGAGGGAAAGGGCTGCCCTGCCTGGCGGTACCGTCCCTCACGCCACTCGGCTTGGTTGCCGCCATCGCGCACAGCGCCCCAAGAGGCCTTCTCGACGCTTTGCGCGTCGCCCCGCCCCCCGCCCCGCCGTGCAGGGCGGCGCCTCAGGTCTCCACGAGGGAGGGAGGGCGAGCGGCGGGGCTGGATTGGCCGCCTGAAATCGAGGCTCCCACGCTACTGGACGCTCGCTCCGCCGATCATTTGCGGGACCCGCGGACGGGCGAGCAGGCAGGGCCGGCGCCGGGCCGCGGCTCCCCGATTGGCGGCGCCTGCTTTTGGCGGGAAGGCGCGAACCCTCCGAGGGCCGGGGCGGAGCGGCGGTGCCCTCGCGCGCGCCGCGTCGGTTCGCTCCGCTCGAGCGGGGCCGGGCCGGGCATTCCGCCTCAGAGCGCCGAGGAGGCGGCCGCGGGAGCCCGGCGCCCAGCCGCCGCCATGGAGCCCGCCCAGCCCCGGCGGGGCTCTCACCACCGCCGCCGCCTCCTGCTGCAGGACCAGCCGCGGCTGCTCGCGCCCGCGCCGGACCGCCGCAGGAGCCTGGGCTGCGGCAGGTAAGCGAGGCCCCCGCCGCTCCCGCTCAGCCCCGCTTCGCCCTCAGCTGGAGGCCCCCTCGCCCCCCAGCCGCGCCCCTCTGTGCACGCCCGGGCAGGCGCCCCCCAACGCGGCGCCCGCCTGAGGAGCGAGCTGCGCGCGGCTCCCGGCGTGCCCCGGGGCTCGCTGGAGCATGCCGGGAGCGGGAGTCCGGCGCCTCTGGGGGCTCCCGGTGGCGGCAGGCCGGCGTGGGGAAGGCGGCCCGTGCGCCGGGGGCCTCGAGCCGGCGCGGCCCCCGCCGCTCCCCCTGGACGCGAGGCGCTGGGCCAGGAAGGGCTTCGCCTGCCCTGCCCTGCCCTGCCCTGGGGGGCCCCCTGGCTTCGCTCGCCCCCTTCCAGCCGAACAGCCCCGGAGGGAGCCGCTTTCCCCGCCCTGCGCGTGGGGGTTTGCTCCTCTGCCACGTCTCCCTCCACCACCTTTTCCCCAAGTGAAACAGCCCCGGTTACATTAACCTTCCCTCCAAGGGGAGTTGCTCCAACCCAGGCCTCGTTTTAGTTGCCCTTCTCCGCGCTTGATATCCTTTTATTTATTTTTTTAAGGTGCAGTACAATATTCCAAGTGTGTTTGCACCAGAGATTTCTATAAGGGCAGCTGGCAGTTTATTTTCAGTTCCTTTGCTGGATATGCTTAAGATGGAATTTGCCTTCTCTCCTCTGCCTCCTCCGCACACCAGCAACCATGTGTTGGGTTAACACTTTAATCAAGCTGTTGGTCGCAGCTCCAAGATGACTTCCTTGGTCAGACACTGCTAGCTCAGGTTCCAGCAGCTCATCCTTGAAATTGGGATACTTTTGCCTCATTGTGTATTACTTGATTGACCTTCAGCTTTAACCACCTGAAATAACTTGGTGGCACTGGCTGCTTGTTTATGACTTAGGGGAAGAGCATTGGTCCCATTATAGATTCCTGCAGGACCCCAATGGGATAATCTAGTATTTATCCCTGTTCTGCTCTCGGTGCTTTAATCAGTTAATGATCCATGAGAAAACCTCTTTAGTTTTTGACTGCTAAGTTTGCTTAGGAGTCTTCAGTGAGGAATCTTGCAAAAACTTTTAGGAAGTCCAAGTATGTCTACCCTCCCCTATTGACACTCTAAATGAGCTCTTTTAAAGTTGTTCTTCTTATTCTACAGAAGCCATGGTGATGCTTTATCAACAAGGCTTTAATTTCTACATAGTTATTAGTTTTATCTTTAATGATGTTTTTGGCTGTTTTATCCAGATGTAAAGTGATCCGTAATTTCTTGAATTTCCTTTTTTTAAAACTTAGTGTTGCATTGGGTATTCTCCAGTAGCATGGAAGCATTTGGTTTTCAGTGTGGTACTATCCCTTCTGGATCTTTGCAGTAACTTGCCAGAAGCAGTACATGTTTTAAGGCCTCTAATGTGTATCATGTTCCATTTGAAAGCTGTGGGAAAGCTTCATGTTTGCAGTGTGCCATGGGATAACAGTAGCATTTCTAAATCTTTGCAGCTCGAATGAAAATTATGTACAGATGTTAGAAGCAAGGAATGTCAATCTACAAAGGACGTCCTCTTCTGATTCTACAGATTCAGGTTTGTGTCCTTTCATCCCTAAACCAAAACCTGTTAGTTTTTTTTCCCAGATGAAACATTAGTAGAGTCGGAGTGTGAATTGTGAAGCCCCTGGTCTAAATGTCAGCTCTGCCGGGAGCTCATTGGAGCGGTTCAGATGTAATGTTCCGAGTCCTCATGCTGGTTTGGAAAACTGGGAGCATATTGCAAGTCTGCGCTCTGATTTCCTTCCAGTCTTCTTGGTTTGATTAGGCCGTAGCCTGCTACTTCATCTGAGCTAGAGAAGTTTAGGTCACTTGGTGGTTTATACATACATACATAAAAGCTAGGCAAACTAGCGACAGGCTGTTACACGTGAACAGAACCACTGGGTCATCATTCAACGCTTTAGATTCCCATTTGCTGTATGGAGGTGGCACTGGGCCAATGCAGATTTATGTTTGCTGCTAATTTGTCCTGTTCCCCGAAGAGTGTGACTGCTAAAATTATTTCTTTCCCATAGGCTGCTGTATGGACTCTCCTACCCTGCTCAGCATGAAAGACCTTGATGAAACGTATGTACAAATTTTGCGAATTGTTTTGTTCTGCATGGTGTGTAAAATTGCTTATGGGCCATCCTGAAGGTCTCAGGTTGAGGAGTTAAATAAAATACTTACTGGGAAGGGATGTTTGGGGCCTCCGCGCTACAAATTTGTAAGGGTGCTGAGGCTTTTCTCTTAAATTGGAGAACCAGATTTTTCAAATGTTGTGGCCCTGAGCAGCTGGACAGTACCCACTTGTGTTCTGAGTACTTTGTACTGACTATAATTCAGGTAATTTAAATGTCCAAACCTCCACACACGAGTGGAAGATTCTGGGCTGGTTCACCCAACATTTAAGGCCATGTTGGCTTCGACTAGGACTCCTCCTCAGTCCTCCTGTCAGCATCCCAGGAGATGACAGCTACCAAAATGTGGCAGAGCAGGTCTTCTAGGCATTGTTGATTTCTCTGCCTGTGCTTTTGCCAAATCTGTTGTGCTGGTTCGCTTGCAAGCAGTCCAGCGACTCTGGCATTGGTGGGAACGCAGGCTGGATACACTTGCAGCCTGGAGCTTCGCTTCCAGAAGTTATGGAAGCAAGACAACGGTGAAATGTTCCCCTTGTGTTTTTAATACGTTTTTAGTATGAATTTCCAAAAATTGCAGCAAAACCAGAAAGCCCCCCCCCCCCGTAAAATAGTTTTCATTGCGTAAAGGTTAAATATTTCAGTTGCAATCAATGCATGTTCAGTTTATGCATTTGTGAATTACATGTATATAAAGAAGCATACTATTGCCAGAAGTAGCCACTGAACCAAATACTTCTCATCAATATATAAACAATAGTTGACAGGTAGTTTTCAGGTGTGCAGTAGTGGTGTTGGAGGTAACTACTCCCAAACGGCTGTTGATGGGATGGATAAAATGGGGAGGTTATAGCTGAAGGTGTATAAACATTACTGGGCTTCAGGAATGCAAATGATAAAATGAAAAATAATGTAAAGAAACATCTGGAGTGTTTTCCCACTAAACAGAGACTTGGTTTTGTGGAAACACATCCTTAACTTCATATAAAAACAATTTTTGTAGCGCCGTTGTTAATGAGCAGACTTTCTGGAATGGCATTTTTGTGACAGATCTTTTTTTTCTCTGTGTATGTTTCTGTTTTGGTGATTTTATTAGCTCCCTCAGGCTTGAATTGGGATGTTGGTCATAGTTACACATCTGCGCAGCCCAGGCCTTTGGTCTGTCATCTGCAAAAAGACAAAAGCGACTGCCAGGATGGGGCCTTCCCCATGCTGGCTGCCTTGCAATCCAACTCATTCCCCTGTTCTTTCTACCAGGAAATTGCCTTTGTGCATTTTGTTATTCCACAAGGCTTTTTAACTGTGATCAATCCTTTTTTTCCCTGCTTTGGGGCTGGGTAATATTTTTAAAGGTGGGAGATAACTGACTAAAATCAGTCCTGAAGTCCTTGGGTGAGCATCCCAGGGATTGTGGGAGAGCTTGGAAAACCCCTTCCAAGGTTGGAAGCCCCTTCTCTCCAGCCTTGGAAAACAGAGGTGGGGAGCCATTGTTCCTTAATATGAGGCAGACCAGTCAGGATGCATATGTTGGGGGAAAATATATGTTTCAGTACAGTACAGCCTTCGAGAAATGTTGATGTTGGCCTCTAGAGCTGAAGTTCTGCACTTGTTAGCTGTCTCTGCAAGGTGGGAAAATTGGGCTTGGGGATTGGCTGCCTCCATCCTTCGCCCCTCCCCTCCAAAGTGCTCTCACCAGGTGGGCTGAAAAGCCTCGCTAGCCAAAAATACAGGAGCGCTGTGGACAGGGAGGGGATCATCCCCACATGCCTCCTGCCCTCCTGGCTTCAGCCCAGCATGGCACCGGAATCTCAGGGCTGTGGAGCGAGAATTGGAAGGGGCTTAACATGCTGAAGCTGAAGTGTGTCTGAGCATAATTCTGGTTTTAGCTTTCCGAAAAGTACTCTCAAATCTGGGTGGGATTTGAAGCAGGTTACAAATGTCTTCAGATCGTTAAGATGGTGATTAGAGCAGACAATTACATCTGGAAAAGTTAGCTACCCAGGTAATTTTGCTACATAGCAAAAGAGCCTGTTTATCGCTAGCCTCTTGTCCGTCACGCAGATGTTGAAATTCAGCCTGAATTAACTCACGGTTTGTGTATATGTGTCTGTTCTCCTTCCAGTTTTCGGGTGCCCATACGAAGAATGCATTCTCTCCCGGTAAGTTAAACTTAGGAACAAGGCCCTGCTTTGGCAGTGTTAAGCTTTCCCTTCTTAGCTGCCTGCGATTGCAAAGTAGATCTGCCAGACTGTGTACACTCAATTTATAAGTCTTGGAAAAGCCCATATGTTGTGGTGTAGGCACTGGGAAATGCTGCTCTTGGGTTCTGGAGGTGCAAGATTCTTACAGTTCTCTGCCTGGATGGTTCCTAAAACTAGTGTTTGCTTACGGGACCTTGTGGCTCTGACGTGGAAGCTTGTGATCTACGCCAAAGCCAGGCTTGACAGTTGTTCCACGTGGGGCCCGCAACTCCCGGGGCCTTCTGCCCAGCGAGAATCCCAGTTCAGCTCTTTCACACCAGGACTTAAGGCTTCCTCTGTGAATCTGTATGAAGGGTAGCCAAACTCCATCTTAGGCTCTCTTAATAAAATTGGGTTCCTGATGTTCTGCTAAGTTTCTGTCCAAAACAAAATTAGGTTGCAGGAACCTGACACTGGTTTTGCTTTTCCAACTCTTCAGCACAGCCTCCTGGGTTGTAGCCCTGCCTTGAAGAGGAGCCACTCAGACTTGCTGGACTGTGAGGTCTTCCAGTCATGTGATGCTGAGGAGAACAAAGAGAATGTGAGTTTTTTTGGGGGGGGGGTTCCATCTTTCTAGGCCAGGGCAGCGAGCCATGCTGCTGCCCCCAGGTGCTGCTAACAGCTTGCCAAAAAAGCTTAATGGTTCATGTGAAACAGTATTTTTAACACTAGAGATTGTGATGGGGTCATGCAGAGTTGAAATATTTTCTCAGTTACTCAGATGCTGTTGCAGGCAGTATCTCCCCCACAATGTATGTTTGCTGTTGTGCCACACTGAACATGAAATACCTAGTTGAGCATCAGCAGTGAGCTAAAGTCAGAGTTCACAGATAAAGTCTGTGTTATTGAGCTTGCTTTGGATCCAGATTTAATCATGCTTAAAGCAGACTAATTGGAATCCACGAAACTTAGGTCAGTCTAGACTAAATTCAGTCTTGTGGATTTCAGTGGGTGTTCTCTAACTGTCACTGAATCGCGATCCAGTCCAGTGTTTTGAATGTAGCAGTCTGTCAACCATGTTCCTACTCCTCTTTTGAACATTTTGCTATTTGTCTTTTTCCAAAGCTGCGGGGCAGCATGTTCTCAAGTTTCTGCATTTAACCTGTTCCTGGTTGCCCCAGGCTCCTGACAACGTGGGTGTGCTTCAAGAGGCATCTCTCAGCGGGGCAGTTTCTCGCTCCAGTGATGTAGTTATGGAGAAATGGCATCTGGAGATTTTAAGCTTGCAGTAGATATTCCTTCAGAGATGCAGATAGTGAAAGTGACCTCTACCTGTCTCCCATCATGTCTTGTCTGTAATTGTGGGATGAATTGTTCTCGTTACACAAAGATTAGCTGGGAAGCTTAATGAATAGGGTTGTAAAACTTGAGAGATGATTGCAGTGGAACGAAAGAGGTGGTCAGTTTTCTTTGAGTGATGGCTCCACCAAAGAGGAATGACTGCACACCCTTTTTAGGCAATGACACAGAGTTTTGAGCAGTTTTGGATTGCTGAAAGGAGTGTCTTGTTCTCTTTTCTTAAGGAGCCCTTTGAATTTAAGAAGCCAACAAAACCAGCTTCTCGTAGCTGTCTGCGTATCTCATCCCTTGAAGATGAGAAAGATGCTTCGGAACTGAGGCAGAAGCCTGAGACGGCACTTTTGGTATGCATTTACAAGTCTGAGCATGAGGGAGCGGCCCCGCTCCAGAAGAGAGCGAGGCATTGTTGTGGTTGCACTGAACACTGAGGGTCCCTTGCTGGTTCGCCCAGGCTTCTAAACCAGATGCCAGGAGTTATGCTTAATTCTGCCTACGCCGACTTTAGAATGTACTGTTTGGGAGATGTACACAAACCGGCTGAATCCCTTGTCTTTCTGCTGCATGGGCACCTGGCCGCTTGTGGAAAGGCCTTCTTGTGGCAATTTGGACCCTTCAGCTGTCTTGTCACTAAGCACCAAGGTCTGTTTGCAGGAAGAGACTTTGCTTTTGCACCTTGGTTTTTGCAAGCTATTGCTCTTTCAGCCGCTGCACACCTTTAGTAGACATAAATCTGGGTAAGAGTCACTAAGGCCCAGAGGAAGAGTAGACAGTGTGCAAAACTGACCTCTTCTCTCCTGCTCTTCATTTGGCCGTGCAGCTATAGTCCTGGGGAAAAGACTTGCTCTGTACAATCATCAAGATATTGTTTGCTTTAGTTTTGTAGTGGTGGAACTTTTGACCAAGATCTTGGAGGCTACAGCCCAGCATTCCTGAGGCGGCAGTCCCGGAAGGTGTCAGAAGCGGAAGATGACGACGATGGATTCTTGGAGATCATTGATAGTCAGGATGTCATTGTAAGTGAAGATGCAGTTGCCTCTCTATTCCATACTGAACAGCTTGAAAACTTGCCAGGTGGAATGTGCCCTGGATGTAGCCATCCTCTGACCTGGTTTTCCAGCAGTGGATTCAGAAGCAGCATACCAGTAATCACTGTTCTTTAAACAGTGGCAGAAAGGCCTTTCTTTGATGCCTCGGGAAGGGAATATCAGCAGTGTGGTGCCCCTGCACTGGGAAAAACATTGTTTGGTCTCTGCCGTTCCCACTTCAGAAGGAGGGAGGCCTCTGGGAAGGGTTTCCAAAGTAGCTCTGTGGGTGAATGAGCAAAGGTCCCGATCCCTCAGGGCAGGCCGTTCAGGAAATTCAAGGTTCAAGGCCCGCACTTCCGATTTCTCTCTGCTGTCTTTTGGGCCAGTGGAAATTTCTGAATGGCTTTCAAAGGCGACCCCTTGAATAACATACTAAAATAATCTGACCTTGAAGAGACCATTTGGCTAACTTATCTGAACGGAACTTACCTTGCCAGATCACCAGGCTTTTCTGAAAAGGCACTCCTGGTGGTCCTGCATGGACTGGAGATCCACCTGGAACCCATCTGCGGCAAGGTGCCTCTCGTCTGGCCGTTGCTGTGCCATGGAATGACCTTCCAGCTGAGAATGTGCATGTGCCAGCTGTTTACTTCTCATGTTTGCCAACCAGTACTTCTGTGCAGGCCAGTCACTCCTGATAAATCAATTCCAGCCATTCCTTTATTAATGGATTTGCCTGGCACTTGCTGATTTGCCATTTATTGTACACTGTGGAACAGTTTATACATTCTGAAATAGAGAACTCTGACCAGGTCACTCCTCTCTGATGAGAGTCACAGCTTGCAGACCAACCAAAGTTGGCAAAAGGTGTTTCAAACTCCAGAACTGATGAAGCCAGACTTAGAAGTGCCTCTGGCCTTTGAAGGAGGTGGCACCTCCCGCCTTGACAAGGCCAAGCAGACACTCCATGTTCAAGCCCCACCAGCCACAGCACTGCCTCCTCGCCGGGGTTTTCAGTCCTCCTCTGGCCCACTACAGTGGACTGCTGTCCTTTCAGTGCATCCGCCACAGCTTCTGACTCTCACTCTAAATCCCAGGCAACCTCAGTGAAAATCGTGAAGGGCACAGTAAATCCCCAGAGGCTCTGTCGCGTAAATGCTGAGGAACAAGCCCAGCTTTTCGTGTCGGAACGCTCCATTTAGAAGATCTTTGCAAGCTTCTAAGAGGTTCTGGAGCATTAACAAGGCTGCGCCTGCCCACCCATATCCTAGGATTAAAAGCAACCGGCCGAGTTCTGCGTCCAGCTCGCACCAGAGGGAAATCAGTCCCGGTGCTGGTGGGAAGCACCAGCTCATCTGCAGTGCCTGCTCCAGCAGGGCAGTGCACCACAGGCAGGGAGAGTTGAGTTGATACCGCGTGATGCCTGGAACAATCACTCGGGCGCACTTAGAAACTGCCCTCAAGGCCACTGGCAGGGCAGTCAGTCCGTAGTTTAATTAGCTTTACATTTCAGCCAAGTAAAGCTAATTAAAGCAGTTCCAGTCGTTGCCAGGAATCGCTTTTGTGCACTGTAACTGATGCTGAAGGTCCTTTTTTCAGGATGATGGAAAGGTGCCCTCTGACATGGCGAGGCTCTGGACTGCTCCCCTGGTGATGATGAAGAAGAGAGAAGAGAGCCATGTAAGTTGGTTGCCTTGTTCCCACGCAACTTGAGAGCGGGGCATTTTGACGCTCCTAGAACAGAGAAGAGCCCAATCTGTGTTGTAATCAGCGGATGCCAGCTTTCGTGCTGTTCCGCCTGACTGTTGGATGCCGAATCTAGTGTATGATCTCTGCATTGGACGCTGGACCACCAAGGCTGGCTTCACAGTTACTCGCCCATATCGCTGGAGTGCAGGTTCCTTTGTCGAATTGTGCAACTGATTGTCTCAGCCGAGTTGCGAGGAGATGCAAGAGGAGTGCTCCGCCTGGGGCTGCGATGGCTCTGCATTTCTGCTCCTCCTCCTTCCAGGCTGCTCGGCCCTCCGTCTCCCCAGCAGGGAGCTCTCCTCTCGTCAGCGCAGCGTTCCAGCTCCTGTGGCAGAGCTGGCCGCTCCTGCCCTGGTTGCAGACTGGAGGCAAACAGCCGCCTGTAGTCCACATCGATGCTCCTTGGCGGTGCTAATGCTGCTCTGGCTTTTATCTAGAATAAGCAGTGCCGGCTGCTGAGCATGGAAGGCAAGCCGCACGGTGCGGCCAAAGCCGCCCTGAAGAGAATGGAGCGGTCCCAGGAAGAAAATGCCCCAGGCTGCAGCAAGAGGAGGAAGAATGTCTGCAGAGCACCCTCTGAGGAGCTGACGGTCAGTGGCCGAAGGACGCACGCCTGACTGCAGAGTTGCCTTTGACCGAGCTTGGCGTCTGGCTACTGTGCTTTGAGTCGCGGGCTCTTGCTAGAGCACCAGCTCGGCCTTCCCTCCCCTGCTCCCCCCCAAGAGTGGTGCTTTTCTGTGGCACAGCCCAGAACTTGAGGGACAGGAAAGATTTGGCAAACTTGTTGAGTGCGTAGTTTTTGAAAGGAACCGGGCGAGCACACAGGGCCGGACTTCTAATGGCGTGGAGCACAGAGGTCCGTCGGCCAGGGGTGAGCAGGTTGTGACGGGTGTCCGTGTCCTGGCCACAGGCGGAACAAGCGTCCCCCACCCTCGTTTGCTTTCTCGCAACCCTCTTGTGAGCAAGAGAGGATGTGGGCATGGAATTGTGTGGTGGCAGCTTGTCTGCCGTTCCGCTGCTCTTCTCTCCCACCTGCTTCAAGCATTCCCCTTCCCTTGCTTGGTGCCAGGAAGGGGAGAGGTTTGGGGAGGAGCTGCTTTGAGGTGGCTGCCACAGCCCCTTCCTGGGTGGAAGGCTGGGGGTGAGGACTGCATGGACAGTCCGGAGCCCCTGCCTCAGGGTGCCTTGTGCAGAGCTTCCCCTTCCCAGCAGGAGCCTCCGAAGCTGCCAAGTAAGGTGGAATGGTGCGGGGGCAGGAAGAGTAGATGCGGGGCAAGGGGGATTTGCCGAGCGGAAGCGTGCTGCCCTTTTCTTGCAAGCTCGCTCCCTCTGCAGACCTTCCCTGGAACCCTTCTGTAAATGTAGATTTGCCTCCTTAGATTTTATATCTTTGCTCCTGCTTGTTTTCAACCAAGCTTTCAAAGTACCTGAGAATTGTCATTGTCTCGTCTTCCTTGGTCTGCTGCTGTTTTTCTGAAGGCCAAGGAATTTGCAGTTCCTTTTTTACTAAACCACCCGTCACAGAAACACAACCCCTTCTGTGTCTTACTCTGCCTTTGCATCTTTCCTCTTTAGGAAGCACTTGTAGTCGCTTCACCCTTTCTTCCTGGGTTACATTCAGCTCTCACGATCTGTGGCAGTTTCTCAGCCCTTTCCTCTGGCCCACATCCTCTTGGAATTGGAAGCCTGCAATACTGCAAATGGTTTATGACTAGAATGCGTCCGTAAGCATCGCATTTTGAAATGTGAGGTGGTAAAAGCAGCAGTCTTGTCTTTCCCTGTTTCTTCAGAGTCTGGTCCTGGCTCAGACACAGTCTTCCTCCTCCGCCTCTTCAGCTGAGATAGAGAACATCCTGGACAGCGACCAAGGGGACCTTATTGGAGACTTTTCAAAGGTAATGCTGAGTCTTCCTAGCCACCCTGCCCTAACCCTCTGACGTCTCCGCTGAAATGCCCTAAGTGGGAGAAGGGCTTGTGTGCTTGGCTCTCCTTCATTCTGCAGTGAGATGGCCATTTCCTCATTCTGAGCAAGGCTCCTTGTGTTCTCTGCCTAGGTTTACCTTTTCCACACTGTCAGTGGGAAGCATCAAGATTTGAAGTACATCGACTCCGAAATGGTAAGCAGCATTGGCCGCATCTCCGCAGAATTAGTAGCCAGCGTATCTGCTGGATGCCAGGGCGGTGTGTTCGAGGTTTGACCCTTGACCTCTTCTTTCCAGATTGTTGCAGTTTTGAATGGCAAGTTTTCAAGGTTCATTAAAGAGTGTGTGATCATCGACTGCCGATACCCTTATGAGTACGAAGGTGGCCATATCAAGGTTTGGAGAACTGCCAGCGTTGGTTATTTGCAGCCTGGTTCATTTCACAATAGGATGAATGCCAAACCTGGGCAGGTCAGCCTAGCATGGGCAATGTGCTGGCTTGGCTGACCACGGTGACCTGCTTAGCCCTTGGCATGTGTGGGACGCAAGCCGCTTGGAAGGCGTTTGCGCAGTCTCAGCGGGGTTGCATGGCTTCTTGGAGGAGTAAAGAACCCTCAGGTAACCCATGGGCTACTGAGCTACAAGAGGGCTGCTTCCCTCTTCAAGCCATGCCGCCTGGGTTCAGGTGACGGGACAGGCTGGGCTGCCTCCACCAAAAGGCAGCGTGCCACAGTGATGCCTCAGTGTCTGAATCGGAACTGGAATGGTTAGTGGAAATGCCAGAGCGAATGAGCTCTGAGATACACTCCGTTTGGGGACCCCACTGGAAGAGAGAGTGGGGAGAGGTTTAACTTTATTAGGCCACTGATCCAACAGTAAGTCAATCAGGTGGACCAACAAGGTAACACCCGGCGCCCCTACCATCCTGTCCGCAAGTGGTGTGAACCCTCCCAGAAGTGTGGAGTGGTGCACACTCCGTTTGGTGGAAAGGGGGAGAGACGAGAATTCCGTTGGGAACCAATCTCTAGCCTAGGCAGAATGAACCTCGAAATTAGAGGGGTCATTAACTTGACAAAGGCACCTTGCTAATGGTCTTTATATTGCTCACTGGCTGGCCAGGTTTAACATGAAATGCTGTAGTTTGAAGACGCTGCCTTGATTAGTTGGACAGGCAAAGCGGGGAGAGGTTGGAGGGCAACCTGCATAGGTGAGGAGGCAAACAGTTCCCCCCACCCTCAAACCTCCACAAATGGAGCGACTGGGGCGTGGTTGCCGCTGGTTGTGCTTGTACTGGGCCGTTGGCGATACTCAGAGTAGGCTTTCCTGCCAGAGAAGCAGTCACCTGGCCCACCTCACTTGGATGCTCTCGGATGCCAGGGAACATGGGGTCTCTTTGAACAGGGTAATGAAACACTGAAATGTTTTAATTCAGAGATTTCTGTGAGGTTTCTTGTGCAAAAGGAAACTTTTTGAATGGTAGATAAACAACAAGGGTGGAGAAGCAGACGCAAGTGGCCCGACTTGGTGAAAGTGGCCGGAGAAGGAGCACGCGCCCCTCCTCGTGGTGGTTCTCGCGGCGTTCCCGTGGCTCTTCCGAGTGTCTGTGGTCAGTGCATGACCACGCGGACAGCACTACTCGCAGGGGTTTCCCAGCCAGGGAATGCCACTTGCCTGGCACCCTCATGGTGGTATTGATGCATTTTAGTCATCCCAGCCCCCTGACATTTAAGATCTTTTTGGCACAGTTTGTGATTTTAGTGATGCAGTGTGATTGAGCGCTCTTCTGTCTTTTAGGACTTTTTAATACTTAATTTTTAACTGTTCAAAGAAAACTTGTCTTTGAGTGATGCGTATTGTAGGTTAAACTGGAAGAGTGATGGATGCAGAAATGGGGGTATCATGTCAGGTGCCCACAAACCAGCCCCTGGCTTTCCTCTGCTGCCAGAGCTCCTGTGTTAAACTGAGTTGGGGGGAACCTGGGCTGCACCTTCTCACCTGTGAAAACCAGATTATCATGAGCTCTGGAGTGATGCTGGACCGAAGGGATGATCCGGAAGACGCAAGCATTGGGTGCAGTGGCCTTTCTGGTGCTCCCTCCAGTTTCATATCTTTTGACCAGCGACTCTCCTTCGCAGGGCGCTGTCAACCTTCCCATGGAGGAGGATGTAGAGGCATTCTTGCTGAAGAAGCCCATCTTGTCGTCCGGCAACAAACGGGTCATTGTTGTCTTCCATTGCGAGTTCTCATCGGAGCGGGGCCCCCGGATGTACGTAAACAGAACGCTGTGCTGCTCACGTCTTCTTTGGTGCAGGCCGGGGCCTTTGGTAACCCGTGGCTTTGTATGCGGCTGTTTTAAGTATAGGCAAGCCGAGATCACGGCCTGTTGGCTCCTTAGCGTGGCAGGTAACGCTTAGTTGTGCTCCGTGCTAAAAGGAGCATGGAACTGATGTCCAGTCAGAAAGACTTGACAGAACTGTCGTGGCGAAGGAGTGCTTGGTCAGCCGCCTTGGGGTGAGCCGTGAATGAGCTGGTGCAGAAAAGTGGGAATGGGGTGGGTGGCAGTTACCGGGAGGGAATGGATTTGTATTTTGGAAAGGCCTGGGGGATCGAGCTGCTTCCCGGACGCTGAGACGCAGCGTTCTGTGCTCAGGGGTCTAATGACATCCATGCATACAACTCTGAGAGCTGCACAGAATATCCTGAGCTGTTTCCCGCCACCCTTTGCTGCAGGTGCCGCTTTGTCAGGGAGAGAGACCGGCTCGGCAACGAGTACCCCACCTTGCACTACCCTGAACTGTACGTCTTGAAAGGGGGCTACAAGGACTTCTTCTTGAAATGCAAGGTAAGCGTAACTTCACTTAATTTTGCAGTTCTTTTGCTTGTGAAATGAGCCGTCGGAATTCTGCCCCTCTCGAAAGCTGGGAGGCAACGTAGTCCTCGTCAGAGATGAGTTAAGCCGGGCTTGGTGCGGCCATGAGAGACGGCAGCTTGACCTTGTCCAGGTTTTCTCCGATTCCCTGCATGGGTGCTGTACTGCCAGGGTTTGAGCACATTTGGACATGGACCTGTGCGCTGACAGCAAAGGGAGAGCCAAGCTCTTCATATACTGAGAAGCGTATTAACTCCTGTGAAATGGCCGGTCATTGCTGTCTGGCGCTCCTTCTCGAGGAAGTCAGTCCTTGGGCAGCATCCACCGGGCTCTTGTGAATAGTCCGTCCTGCCAGATCCTTTTTGCACTAGGGAGAGTTGGTGCCTCTTAGAAAAAGCGGAACCTCTTGTTTTCGGAAGGAAGTGATCTGGCAGCGCTCCCTTATGTGAGCCCTGCTGGACTGCCTCCTTGCGGAAGGAATCGCCTGGAGTGGCTTCCGGCTGGGGCCCGGAAGTGCTGAATCGGCATCGGGTGAGTGGTGGGGGCCGCTTGCGCAAAACAGTTGGTGTGCTGGAGGATCAGCCGGGAGGACGGTGCCCCGCCGGGCCCCAGCCTTGGCTTCCTTTCGTAAGCGGCTCTTGCCGCGTGGCCAGGGCAGAGGGCGTGCTTGGCACACGCGCGAGGCCCCATCCCGGGCATCGCCAGAAAAAGACCCCTGCTGGAGACCTCGGGAGAAGCGGTGCCAGCGTATGACGCCCCCTGGAGCCAGGTGTGTATGAGGCCGTTGTCTGTGCAGCCGCTGCTGCGCTGGCACTCTCGGAGCGTGTCACGTCCCTAGAAGGGTCGGGAAGCAGACTGTGGAACTGGCAGCAGCTCCAGGTGCTGCACTCATGTGGTCCACGTGGCGTCCTTCCCCCTTCGAGCCCAGACTCAAAGCAGGAGTCGCTTGCAAGGATCTGCAGACTTGGGCTTCCTGAACGAGGCTTGACCTCTGTCTAGCCTCAGGGGTGTTTGCCCGGAGCTGCGCCCCTGCGGGTCTCCAGGAGACGGCCTCCCCGGCTCCACTGCCTGCTCCATGGTCAGGCGTGCCGTAGTGAGCAGACGGCTGATCCCAGCAAGCGAGGAAGAGTGGCTGGCGGTGACGCTAAGGAGGGCTCACGGGCTCTTCGCGGTAGCAGTGGGTGTGCACTCGGTGCCATCCCGGTCCGGCTGGATTAGTGCCTGGCAGGCCCTGGGCAGAGGCGTTACGGGGGCGGGGGGGGGGGTCTGCTGCCTGGCAGAGCTGCCGTGCCCGACTGGAAGGGGAAAGTGTAACCGACGCAGGCGCTGAGACGGTGCACACGAGAGCTGCCAGGGAATCGTGGGGCCCTTGAATTTGTGGGCCTCGCAGAGAAATACCTGACGCTTTCTCTTGCAGAGCTACTGTGAGCCCCAGGGCTATCGCCCTATGCACCACGAGGACTTCAAGGAAGACCTGCGCAAATTCCGCACAAAAAGCCGGACGTGGGCAGGCGAGAAGAGCAAAAGGGAACACTACAGTCGCCTGAAGAAGCTCTGAGGGATGGGCTTGTCGACCGGATTCTGCCCACCTGCCCAGCCCTTGGAGGATGGGAGACGCAAGCTTTTGCTTCGGCTGTGGTCCTCATGGGATTGTGTTGCTCCTCATGCGGCCTTTGCTTTGCTGTCCACTGAATCTCTTCCTGCAGGCTGGTGTGGAGTGGTGGTCTCGCCCCTCTCACGCATGGACCCCAGTGGCTGCATTCTGGTGAATCTGGGAGTTGCGTACCTATTTATCAAGACAATCCATGTAACCAGAGTATATATGAGAAGCGGGAGGATGTAACTGCCTTGTGGAGTATTCATTGCAAGCTATTTTGTGGATTTTAAAGTGGTGCCTTTTTATTTAGTACAGTCAAATGAAGCTAATTTTATCTCTGTGGCTGAGCTACCTGGATCGATTCATGGCCCTGTTCAGGGCAGCCAGGAGGATGAGACTCTGGAGTGCTGTCCTCTGAGCTGCAGCTCTCGGGTGTGTCCTCACCTTTGTGTACAGTCAGTATCATACGTGAGTGTCTGGAAGAGACGTGGAAAATAATTCGTGGAATTTGGTTAGCTTTTCATGGGAAAACATCTATGTGCCGTCAAACATGGAGTCGGTTTGTCAGGTTGTTGACTTATTCTCTGACCTGGTGGCCTTCCCTGCTTCATCAGAGAGAGACCTGGGGGTGGGGTGGGGGTGGCACTTCCCAGAGGTCACCGAGCAGCAGGTAATCCTTGGCATGGCCCAGTGCCAAACGTAGCCACTACATACATGCGCACCGTGTGTGCGCGCGCGTCTGCGCGCGTTAGGGAGGTGGGATTGTGGGGTGTTGCTGAAGCGATCATGGTGTGTGCCTGCCCTGCCCTGTCCTAGCGAAGCTGAGGGTTGCGGCTCCTTTGGAGAAGTTCGCTCTCTCGTGTGCCTTCCTCAGGCAAGAAGGTTTACGAAGGCCGGCATTTCCCTCCCTGTTAAACAACGAGGGATGGAGCTTCGCAGAGGCTTTGTGAGCCGCACAGGGTGAAATACAGGGCTCATGTCAGCTCGCTGAAGCTGCTGTCTGACATCTCTCCAGGTAGCTAAATTGTGGCAGTAGAAGGAGCTGCAGTATTTGAATCCTGGCCGGAAATCTCACTGCAGACGTTTCAGCCCTGAGTTTGTGTCTGTGGTCACAGTTGCAGGCAACACTGAACCATGGATCGTTGCTGCATACCAGGCTGGAGCGAAGAATCACAAGAAACCAGTAGGCTGCCTCTTAATGGCAGGGGTGGGGGCTGGCCTATTGGGCATCCGTACCTTGGTGAAGTTGTGTCGCATTCGCATGAGTGGCTGCACCGTGCTCAACATGGCACCCCTGGTATATGGACACCGGCATGGGCAACGTTTCTGGGGCAGCTCGAGGATGCCGGGCCGGCCGGGGGCTGTACGTCTCTCTTGCCTGCCTTTGCTTCTCTCCCTCGAGCAGCCAGCTGCATTTCATCTTGAAACATTTAATTTACACCCGTTATTTAAATTATCCCACCAGCGCACGTCAGCACAGCATTGCCGCCAGCATGCTCTGTTGTGACCGTCCACGGTCGCGCCATCCCACCGTGAGCAGCTGAAGCAGCGCCTTGCACCGCAAGCCCACCGAGGCACAGGGCAAGAGTGTCTCCGAGCAGGTTCTTTTGCCTTGGGGCATTAGGTGCAGACCAGAGGGCATGTTGAGCCCCCGCAGGGGAGAAAGCAGGATTGTGCAAAGGGAACGGAGCGGAGGCAAAGGGAAAGCGTTGTGTTCTTTGGTCTCCTGGGAGCGGTGGCGGCAGTTGTGAGGAGAGGAAGGATGCGAAAGCTTTGGTGCAGCAGAGGAGAGAAAGCTCGTAGCTGCAGCGGGCGCCATGGCTGGTCTTGTTGTCGGGAGGCACATGGGAGATCAGAGGCTGCTGCTTCTGCGGGGCAGAACCCACATTTGGTACTGCAGTGGGGTGAGGAGAGCACAGAAAAAGCGGCGGCGGGAGGCCCCGGCTAGCAGTGCGGCGGGTGCTTCCGGGGTGGAGCTGGGCAGCCTGTGCTGGGCTGCGTGCGAGGGGTGGGCTGGCCCCCCGTGGCTGGTGCAGTAACGTCGCTCCCCTCAGCTCTCCTCCTGCAGCTGAGGTGTCCTGATGGGAAGTCCTGCGGTGCAGGCCGGCCTCTCATTTGGCAGTTCGAAGGGTGGTGTGGGGACCGCCCTCGAGCTGCTCTCTGCCGTCTCCTCCATTCTTGAGAGGCACCAACTGCCCGCCGGACCATTCTGCCGTTTCCTTCCTGATTTCTTCCTGAGAACATTCCCAAAAGTGTTGATTTCCCCTCCCCAAACACACTTCCTGGTATTGAGACCTGTGTATTGTTCGTTCCAAGTTGCTGTTCGCCTTTTTAATTTGACATTTGCACACGATTTCGTTCAAGGCTGGATGGAATAATGTGCTTTTAATATATTGTAAATGTTTTTAGGGTGAGGGGTTATTTGAATGACATTAAGGCTCCTACAAGGGGGTCTTTGAAAGCACCTGCATCTGTGACCTCAGAAAATAAACTACCCACTACCCAGACTGTCTTCTCTTCTTTGCCTTTGAGCGGATGGTGGGAGGCGTGGCGAGAGGGATCCCTTCCTCCAGGTGTACAAACTGTGTCCGTTTCGTCAGGTCCAGGCAAGATTTGCACAACATTGAAATGCATCACCTCTCGGGACTCACCTGGAGTTGGCTTCACACCCTACTGCTTTTTCAGCAAACCCTGAAATGAAAGGCCGAGTCTCCCTCTGGAATGTGGCTTCTGTTGAGTGGATGGGGTACATGGCTTTTCTGATTTGCGCATGGGGTGGCGGGGCGCACGCAGAGTCCCAGCTCGTGCAGGGGCGGGAGGAACATGACAGGAGCACGTGCGTGCAGCAGAAGCAGGCAACAGGTCTCCCACCTCATCCCCAGCGTGTGTTTGGGCTCGAAGAGTGGGGCAAGTCTGTGTTAATTTCAATTTCAAAGCTTTCCTGTAGCGCTCACTCTCAAATCATTGATCTGCTCAGATAAATCAAGAAGCAACTGGACAGCCATCTGAGAGGGGTGGCTGAACTTGGTGTCCAACTCTATGATTCTATGATTTCTTTAATCAGCTGTTTGCTACAGAATATTTTTTGAATGTGCCTTAACATCTGTCAATTCCAGCTGTGTCGGGAAAAACCCTCTGTAGAATAACTTCCATCTGTGTCCAAGGGAACAATGACTGACATACTGCAATCATTTCACTGGATCCCAAAAGCAAAAGAGCGCGACTCAATTGTGGGCCATTTCGGCCTCCTTGCTGTGTCAGCCCCAGAGTCCCCACTGAGTGGTGCTGTTATCCCAAGCTCCACGTACTGGTGCATGTCCCTTAAGAGTTGGGGGAAGGAGATAAACATGGATACTGAAAACTGCCCTGTGATGGATCAACAGTGTTCCAGGATTACAGAACGTGCTTTTGCCGAGGGCTATGCAGCGTGGGGAGCAAGGCTGGCCTTTGTTTGGTATGGAGGTCTTACAGCTTTGTTTTCTCCTTAGCAAATTCTGTTAGAATTTTTAGTCTAAAAACTGGGGAGGAGGGCTGCTCTGTTGCAGAGTGGGATGAGATGAAGACAGGCAGTGACAACTTGCAGGCTGTCTTGTGGCAGGTTTATTCTTTGATTCCATTTCTTGGATTTGGAGTAAGATAATAGCTGGGAAATGCTCTGCACAGTTAGGAGTGTCATCAAAGCGATAAACGATGTCGTTATCAGAGAACCGGATTGACAGCACAAGCTGCCCTGCACTTAGTCGGGCTTGGTCTGCCGCTTCTGCATTATGCAAGTCATCTCAATAATTGATGGTGTGCCTCTTTTGGCGCCGACGTAGCCGGTCCTCTGTTTTCTAGCTAAAATTGCAGGGTAGTTTTCATTTATTAATGCTGACACTTTATGGTTTCTGCCGCAGCCCTTGCAGAAAGAGGGCTCGGTGTGGGTTAGCGGGGTGTGGAGGAGGTGTTCTCTCGGATCCAAATCTATCTCCACTTCCCTGAAATAGACAAGCCAAGCAAATTAATGACAGTGTTGGCATGAGAGGCTCCGGATGTCCCTTGTACACACTGCCAAGCTTGGTCCCTGGAATAAGGGGTAACGTTTCCTAAAATTACATCCTGGCTTACACAAATTTCTTTGGCAGCCCCGAACTCAGGTTATGTTCCTACAGTCTGCTTTACAGATGTTGCTTCTTTTTAATACAAACCAGCCTCATTTATGGCTTTGGTTAATAATATATTGTGGCTGCTATAGAGAACTTGTGTGATGCTTAAGAGTGCTGGGTGGGGAGTCGGGAGGACCAGATTCTAGTTCCTCCACAGCCACAAGGCTCGCTGGGTGACTTGGGGCCAGTTGGTGTGTCTCAGCCTGTTTGTTTGTTTATTTAAAGTTTTCGTATGCTGTCCCCTTGCTATATAGCCTCGGGACGGCTCACATAATGAGCTCCCATAACCCTAATGCACCTCATGGGGTGGTTGTGAGGATAAAATGGAGAAGAGGAGGGCTTTGTGAGCTGCCTCGGGCTCCTTGTAAGAGGGAAAAAAATAAATACTAGCATATAAATCCAATAGTAAACAATACTCTGCCGGGAATTATGGTCAGCAAACTTAGAAGGTGAGATGGCACTAGAAGCTGCCAACCAAGATCTTTGCAGCTGAGTTACTAGAAATGAGTATGAAATCTGCCAAGAGAATTCTGTGCGATTCCCAGCGTTGGCATTCAAGTCAGTTTCTGTACATTGGTATTTTCCCGTAACGTTTTGTCTGAAGTGGCTTGCAGGCATCTGGAAAGAGAATGCAGTGCTCAGGCAGAAAAAGAGTACAACTGGTGGCACTCATTATTTATTAGATTTACATCCCACCGTTTTCTTTTTTGAAGAACTTGAAGCAGCTTACATCATTCTCCCCCTCCTGCTCTTGATTTTATCCCCACAACAACAGCCCTGTGAGGTAGTTTGGGCTGAGTTACTGTCACCCCGTTGTCTCCACGGCTGAATGGGGACTAGGACCCAGGTCGCCTGCGTCCCAGAGCCATGCTCAACCACTGCACCGTGCTGGGTCTCGCTGTTCGCATGTACAGGGCGGTATTCACTCGTGGGACTTCTGAGCCGAGAAGGAAGGGCTGAGCGTTCCCTGAGCTGATGCGGCTTCCCCGTCCCGTGCCCAGCACCCTTCCCATGCAGGCTTCTCTCGGAGCTCGATCTTGCTCTTGCAGGGTGCCACCTATCGCGGAGGCTGAGGGCTGCCGGCATTTCCCTGCTGTCCTTTCACTGGTGTGCAGACTGGGGAAAGGGGTAACCCCTCACTCCGAGATTGCTTCTTTCCCCAGGTAACACACCTTCTCGAGAGCCCGTCCGTGTCTTTGTGGTCCTACTCGCCCAGCCTCCTCTCGGCACTCGATGTGCCCGGCAACTCATTCTTGCCACAGTGAAGGGTCCTGCCATTCTTAATTCAGGAAACAAAGCATCACGCATGTATGAAAAGCAACTTTCTCTAAGGTTGCCAATAAATAAGAAAACATACGCGGTCACCTACCTAGCAGTACCTGAGTCTTGTTTCCTCCTGCTCTAGCTCTCATGCACACACTTGAGAATTCTGGCCTTTGTCAAAGGGACGGAAGATGCCTGCTGCCTTGAAAGTCCCGAGGAAATGTGTGTTCTCAAAGGCACCACTGTAGCACCAGTATCGTGAAAAGGCAAGAGGGGCCTAGCTGAAGCTCGCGGGGCTGTGTCGTGCACGGCGGGATGCCAAGGCAACCTCGAAAAGAGGCACAATTTGCCCGCACCCAAGGAACTGCCTTGCAACTTCGCTGCGCGGTGCCTCGGGATGGGCCTAGCCTCCTGCCTGGTGCCATCTGCAGCCACACGCATGCCCCTGCCTCTGTGGTCCCGTTGGGCCGTAGGTGCGGGCAGACCCTGTCCGTGGGAGGGAGCTTCACTGAAAGCGGTCAGGTCTGGTTTCTCCTGCTTTCCTGTTGGGAAAACGTGTCGTCGTAGAAGCTCTCTGAACCACTTTCATTTGAAATCGCGAGCTCGTTTCCTTCCACAGACGGGCTGCTCCCAGAGTGTCCGTGCCCTCTAAAAACAGTCGTTAACGAAGGTTAGAGATTGCCTAATTCCTTCACGAGTCACACAATGGCACTACTAGTGATCGAGCTGGTGGGAAAAGCAGTCCAGAATTATTTTAAGTATGAAAATAAGGTGCAGGTTGCATTCGAGAGTAGAACCTTTGATTCCTGGATTACTTAAGTGTTTGAAATAAGGTTCAGGTTGCATTCGAGAGTAGAACCCTGCATTGCGGAAATGTTCTTGTATCCAGGGCTATCAGGCTGTCTCCAGCTTATGGCAACCCCATGAATGAAAGTTTTCCAAAACACCCTGCCAGGTGCCAGCCCTGCTCAGTTCCTGTACATTCGGGGGTATCCTTTAAACCAATAGCCAACTCATTTTCTGAATGTGGATCCTCTTTTAGCCGAATTAACACAAATCACACGAGGGAGATGCTGCTAGAGCTGGGGAAAAACACAAGGTTTATGCAAGTGGCGAAAACAAAACAAAAAAAAAGGGCAGGGAGAAAGTGGAGTAGAATTTCGGCGAAGGGGGCAGCATAAAAATGTTTTAATAAATAAATAAATAAATAATAAAATTTTAAGTGACTGAGAAAGGACTGAAAATGTTCAGTGGCACAGAATGCCGACTCCTGTCGTTCTGGCTGAACATCGGCCCTTGATGTCCACCTCACCCTAAGCCAGAATGCTTGGAATTTATAGGATGCTGCTGGGGCTAATGACCTAAGACAACCCCCCCCCCCGGGCAATCTGCTTCAAAGCCCCCGGCCTCAAGCTCTGAACCACCAGAAGGCTCTGAGTTTAGTACTAAAGCTGACTTGGAAGCCAGCACACACAATCTTTGAGGGAGGTAGAAGCTTATTTATAGAGGACAATGGGATAAAAAGGAATCCGAGGATCTGACCCTCATTTGGCTTTTTTGAAACCTG